AGCTTTCAGTATATAGTTCTTGTGCTGGATTTCTGGGATCTTGACTATTATATGTCTCAGTGTGTTTTTAATTGGGTTGAAGTTACTTGGAGTTCTGAATGCTTCAGTTACTTTAATGTCTGATTTTTTCCCCATATTTGGGAAGTTTTCTTCTATTACTTCTGCTCATATTCTTTTTATATCATTTGTATTGGCTCCTTTGTTCTCATTGATGTCTATTAGTCTCACATTGTTCATCTTTGCATCGTCTTACAGGTGATGAATTATTTTTTCTTGCATCCTAGTTGTTTTTAAGAGATCTTTTCTTACCTTTTCACTAGCTGCAATGGCATCTTCAAGATCTGAAACTCTATGTTCACTTTCACTCAATTTGTGTTGCAAGCTTGTGATTGAGATTTTAACTTCCTCTGTATCTCTTTGGCTCTGTTTCATGTGATCTATTTCTTTCCTGTATTGCTCATTCAAGGAATCCGTCATTTTTCTAATATTCTCCAATTTTTTATCAGTGCCGTCTTAAGCAGTTATTAATTCTTTTACTGCAGAGATTATTTCTGATCTGATTTCCTCTATATGTTTCTGCATCTCTTTCTTTACTTCAGCCGCTACTAATTCAGAGATTTCTTTTTTTATTTCAGAGGTTATTTCTGATCTGAATTCCTCTATACCTTTCAGCCATTGTTTCTTTATTTCAGACACTATTGATTGAGACATTTCAGCTGTGTGATTCCCTATTTGTTCAGTGTTAGTGTCGTCTGCACTTGTTCTGGGTAGGCTTTGGCCTGAGGTTACATTTTGCTCTTTTCTGTTTTATTTTGTATGGCATGGTCCTCTGACCTTTGATGTAGAGCATTGGTACAGTTACAACCTTAGCACCTACTGAAATTCGGCTGCATATGTACTAAGTTTGAGTTCATGCAGATGTGCCTGGCTTGGGTCTAGGTATTGTGCTCTGCTCCTTCCTGCTACAGCCCTTGGAAGTGAACCTGTTCTCCCCTCTGGCAAGATGTTCTGCTCCTGGATTAGTTGAGTGGTTCTGGCCCCTAGTCTCTCTGCAGGGACTTCAGCTGTAGAGTTTCTCCCCAGGCCTGTATGCCAGGCCTGATCTGGGTCTTGAGGGGTCCAGGGGGCACCATGGAGCACAGAACCTCTCCCACAGACTTGCACAGCCTAGGCTTGGGCTGAGTCTGGGGGGGTCCCGAGAGCACAGCAGAATTTCTCACTCAGCGGACTCCAGTGGGGTTGAGGGGTCCCAAGTGTGTGGCAGAGGGTCTTCCTCATGCAGTGTGCCTGGGCTTGGTCCAGAGAGGTCCAGCGGGTGTAGGGGAGCCAGAAGCTCTCCCACGCATGTGCCAGGCCTGGGTTTGGGCTGGGTCTGGGGGGACCCAAGAGTGCAGCAGAAGTTCTCAGTCACTCAGCGGGCTTGGGGGATCTCCGGATGGGTGGAGGGTTACCAAGAGCATGACAGAGGGTCTCACTCTCGCATTGTGCCTGGGCTTGGTCTGGAGAGGTTCTGGAAATAAACTTTTTAAAGTTTTTAATACGAGGAGTTTTTAATATCATACCATGTCTTACAAGTAGGATGTAAGTCAAAGAAACAGTATAAATCATAAAACAAAAATTAAAATTAAGCAATATTCAGAAATTAAATATTAATCTAAAATTAAATTAAATAGTTCAAAATAATATTCAAAAATTAAGATTGAATTGTAAGTCCAACTAAGAGGCCAGAATGTAATGTATCATATGTACGCTTATATGTGATCGATTCAGAGTACTCACATAGTATTTGATTAGGTTAATATACACAAAAATATCAACTGAGAAAAAGTTTTCATGATAGTAAAGAATTACTAAGAATAAAACATAACAAAAATACTTGAATGGCAAATTTATGACCAGCACATTCTAACAGTGTGGGGATAGGATATCACACAAAGTTCTAGTATGTGGTGGACATGGACAGTGACCATGACGCTTACTGGTATCCAGGTGTCACTTGTGGAACTGAGCTGCTGCTATTTCCTTGATATCCACCCTGTAGACCTGGACAGAATCACGACCCACAGGGTGCAGGAGAAGTCCATTTGTAGAGTATGCTGAGGGAAATATTTTGCTGCTGTATACAGAAGAATAACTGAAAGACTGCTTTTGTATACCTCTTTTTCTCCTGTGTTTAATTGTTTGCCCTATTTGGTGGGTTATTTCCATTCTTATTCATGGAATTGTGGTCATTTTGATCCCTCTTTAGAATATCTTTTAGTAGTCTGTGTAGGGTTGGCTTTGTTGTCATTAATTCTTTAGTTGTTCTTTGTCGTGGAAGTATTTCACTTCTCCATTAAACTTGAAAGAGAATTTTGCAGGTTATGGGTTGGAATTTGTTTTCTCGCAAAACTTGAAGTACTTTGCGCCATGCACTTTTTGACTTGATGGTTGTGAAGACAAATCTGCTGTTATTCTGATGGATTTTCCTTTAAACGTGATGTTTCTTTTCTCTAGCTGCTTTTAGTGTACTATCCTGTTGCTGAGTTTCAGGGATCTTGATTATTATATGTCTGGGTGTGTTTTTAATTGTGTTGATATCATTTGGAGTTCTCTATGCTTCGGTTACCTGAATGTTAGATTGTTTCCCCATGTTTTGGAAGTTTTCTGCTTTTAGTTCTACCCATATTGTTTTTATATCATTGTATTGATTTCTTCCTTCTCATTGATCCCTATTAGCCTTACGTTGTTCATCTTTTTTGTTGTTGTTGTTCATCTTTGCATCGTCTTGCAGATGTTGAATTATTTTTACCTGCATCCTAGTTGTTTTTAAGAAATATTTTCTTACCTTTTCACTAGCTGCAATGGTGTCTTTAAGGTCTGAAAATCTATTTTCACTTTCATTCAAATGGTTTTGCCAGCTTGTGATTGAGGTTTTAATTTCCTGAATATCAGTTTGAATCTGCTTCATGCATTCTATTTGTTTCTTATGTTGCTTATTCACGCATTCCATCATTTTTATATCCTCCTCAATTTTTTATCAGTGTCTTCTTTAGAAGCACTTAGTACTTCTTTCATTATAGTTATCATTTCTTTTTTTTTACTTCAGAAATTATTTCTGGTCTGATTTCCTCTATACCTTTCTGCAGTTGTTTCTTTACTTCAGACACTATTATTTCAGAGATTTCAGGTGTGTGATTTCCAATTTCTTCTATGCTAGTGTCTCCTACATTTGTTCTGGGTGGCTCAGGACCTGAGAATGCATTTTTGCTCCTTCTCTTTGTCATTTTGTATAGCACTGTCTTCTGACCTTTGGTGTAGAGCTTTGGTAGAGTTATTACTGTAGCACCAGGTCCAGATCTACTAAGTTCAAATTGGTCCAGGTGGGTATGGCTTGGGTCTGGCTGCTGTTCTCCACTTCTTCCTACCACAGCCCTTGGAAGTGAACCCCCTTTGTCACTCTGGCAAGATGCTCTGCTCCTGGATCAGCTGGGTGGGTCTTGTCTCTAGCCTCTCTGCAGGGAGTTCTGCTGTGGTGTTCCACACAAGGCCTGTCTGTTGGAGGAAGGCAAGGTCTGGGTGCTGGCTGGAGTGAGGGTCTGGCAAACCCCAGGTGGTCCCACTCACATTGCGGGCCCTAGTGCTGGTTGGAGTGAGGACCTGGAGAGCACCGGGTGGACCCACTCTGACATTATCCTTTTTTGGTATGCATTGTATTTTCAGATAAACCATGTTTAAAATGACAGGTCTAGATGAACTCATCTGAACATAGAAGAGAATAGAATTAGTCCCTTAGGAAAATCAACATTTAGAGGTAAGGTAGAAAAGAGTCAGGAAGAAAATAAGAAAATAATGCCAAGAATTTGAAGTTTTAGCAAAAGACTTATTGTGCCACCAATACAACTCCTGTTCTCACTACAGTTGTAGAACAACTGGCCTGTTAGGTAAAAATGAGCATATTAACAAATAACATTAGTTTGAAGATTAGTAAGATGTTTGTTCATTTCTTTTTTTTTTTTTTTTTTAGATTTATTTTTCTGGAACTAGGGATTGAACTCAGTGCCAGGGAAGCACTTATTCCACTGAGCCATCTCCCCGGCCCCTTGTTCATTTCTATTAAAGAAAAATAAACTAATCTATTACACTGGGAAAATGCAGCACATATTCATAGCCATATGTAAGGAAAATAAGCTCGTACTATAGTAGTCATCATAACTTATAAAATCATTGCTGTCTTGTGGAATATTTGGGTTACTTTCACTTTGTTTCTGTTATAGGTAATACCTTTATACTACAGATATCCATATATGTGCAAGATTATAGTTTCTAGAATCACATTGCCTAGGTATAATTTGCAGCTGTATCACTTGCTAGCTGTGTAATTTTGGGAAAATTATTTAAGTCATCTGTGCTTCAGTTTCCTCAATCTATATTACGAATGTGATAGTAGCATATACTGTCATTGAGGTATGCGGATTAAATGGATTTATACTTAAACTGTTGTATCACATAGAGAGCATGTAACAAACATGGGTTATTATTATTGTTAATACCTGTATTTGTGAATCTAGAATCTAACTTCTGTCAAACTATTTCCTTAGGATAAATTTTTAATATGGCTTTATTTCTTTAACATAGGATGACATTTTTAAGTCCCTTCACTACCTATGGTCATTGCTTTTCAGAAGGATGATATAATTTTGTATTGTATAATTTGTAAATGCAACCTACTTGTCACTGGTATATGCATATAAATGTACCTTAGCTTGTAAGCTGGTATAAGACTGACTTGTTTGTTTGGTTTTGGTGCTGGAGATCAAATCCAGGCCTTATATGCTAAGCACACAATCTACTTTTGAGCTGTTCTCAGCATCTATTAGATCTTTTGTTAATTTTAAATTTTCATATTATAGTGCTTTGTTCAGTAGTGTCCTAGTGGATATTGATAAATGATGTTACTTGTGAAAGATCATGTTAAAGAAATATTCTAAAATTTGTGGGGTTTTTTTTCCTTTTAATAGATTGAAGCCATGGCCATTCTTTTTGCTGTTGTTGCCAGGGGAACCACTATCCTTGCCAAACATGCTTGGTGTGGAGGAAACTTCCTGGAGGTGACAGAGCAGATCCTGGCTAAGATACCATCTGAAAACAACAAACTAACATATTCACATAGCAAGTGAGTGCTGCTCTGCCTGTGGTACAGTGTTAATGAAAGGAATTCTTTTCAATCAGAGCAATAGAAAACTAGAAAGCAAGCATCTAGGTAGATTAATTTGAATATGCTGACTGAACAATAACCTTTACCAGTTTAGAAAATGTCTGGTTTTATGACATATGAATTTAATTTGTAATTATTTTGTTCTATCATTGAAATGATATTGTTTAAAAGACAAATATGTAAATGTTAGTCAATTTTATGCAAAAATGACTTTGCTATGGAGTTCTTGGATAGACAAAATGATGTAAAGAGTATGAATAATATTCTCTTGTTCATTCTTTTAGTAAGTATCAATGTAGACACTACTTGGTGATTGGGTTATAACAAAAATGCAGTTTTTGCCCTTATAGAGATTATTTTTTTAATGAGGAAGACAGTCAACTCCAGAGATTATTCCAGGAGAGGATGGGAGGTAATAGGCAGGGGATAGCGCTCCTGGTAGAAGCAACAGTAGATAGAGGTATATGGAGGCTGAGATGACTTAGGGAGCTATAAGTGGTTCTCTGTCACTGGTGCTCAGAATAGTGAAAAGGAAACTAGAGAGGTAGCTAGAGGACAAGTCATGTATGGCCATGGAGGGTATCTAACAGTGTGGAAGTACTGAAAATTTTCATCCATTTTATGATAGAAGTTACTTTAGAAAGATCACCCTTGTAGTTTATACCTTGGAGAGGGTGTAGATGGGAAATTTTAGTGTTTTAGCTGTCCTCATTGATGCTTAGAAATGTTTTATTACTTAAGCTATCTTTTTTAAATTTTTATTGAGAACTTAAACTATCTTTATTTCCTTCTAATCTCAGAATGACATTCTTTACAATTTGGAATCCATTCTAAGTTACTATGAGAGAGACCTCAACATATGGAATTAACATAAATAAATCCAGAGAATGGTTTAGATCTGATGCAGTGCCTCAGCCATTCTCAATAAGTGCCTTTCAGTTTTGGACAGTGCAGCTTCTTTTAGTTCCCATTACATCCCACTGCTTTTCTAATGTTCTTTCTTTTTTTAATGTATTTGGTATGAGGTCTTTTCACCCTCCCCAGTGCTGGGATTACAGGCATGTACCACCATACCTGGTCTCACTGGCCAGCTCAGTGTTCCCCTGGGGTGGGGCCGGTGTTAGCGGCCCCACCACATGTAGTGCCAGAGATGGATGGGACCCCAGTCGCTGTGCTTGCCTTAGCAGGCGCTTAGTCAGCTGAGCTGTCTCACCAGCCCTTTCCTAATGTTCTTAAAGGCAATGCCCAGAAGTGGCCTGACATTTTATTACTCAGAAATTTCTGTCTATATTTTATTATTTACTATATAGTTATGTAGCTGACTCAGAGAGAAGGCCTGGAAATATCACTGTGTTGTCATAGATTTAACTAAAGCTCTTGTTACTCTGCAGGAACTTATAGGATATTGAGGGATAACTTGAAGTATTCCATTCTACTCTTTCAAGCTGTCCAACTATCAGGGCAAACTCTTCTCTTTTTTTCAGAGTAAACTCTTCTTTTCAGACATAGAACATGCCTTTTCTTTGAGAGTAGTAGCCCCAAAGATTCATTTAGTTGTGTTTTGTTCTAAATCCAGAATTTCTGGGTAATACACAGTTTTCTCCATAAGGCCCAAGAATGGCTAAAGACAAGTTGAATGATTCCCCCACTTATCTGGCTCAAACTTATAAACAATGGTGAAATAAGAACAGGATCACTAGACCAAGAATAACAAACTCATTTGGAAAAGGGGAGAACATGAAACATAGAAATCACTGCTTCTTAGCACAGTAGCTTGCATAAAGTAGATAGTAAAATGTTATGGAGAACTTGGTAGAAAGGTATTTGCTTTGTAGTCTTGGGGGTGGGGTGGGGAGGAAAACTATGTGACCTATTAGGGATTCTTTTTAATTGTGTGTTCCTCATATTAGCATATCTTTTGTTCTGGTGTTGCAAGTGCAGTTATTGTAATTCTGCGTCTGTCATTTTGATGGGTAATGAAAATAGTTTTGTGCTGTATAGCTGGGTAGGGAGCTTCTTTTGCTTTTTTTTTCCTTTTTTTAATTCCTCTCAGTTTAACCTGAGGGTGATAGGGTGTATCCATAAATAATAAGATAATGGCAATACTGAACTTGCTTATCATAAAAGATAGACGTAAAAGAGACATTGCTTTTAACCATAGTAAATTTTATATCTTCTTTCTGCAGTTATTTGTTTCATTATATCTGCCAAGACAGGATTGTATATCTTTGTATCACTGATGATGTAAGTAACTTAAAGACATATGTTACCATTTAATCATGTACTATCAATACCATCAGTTCTTAATTATCCATACCTGTGTTGGGTAGAGATGATAGACACTTTATAGCTGTAAATTGTTTTCTACCCTTTCTGTTTGTCATACAGATCAGCATTTGACAAAATTTGATACTTTGATATGTACAAAACAGTTAAATTTCTGGAGTTTTAACTTAATCTTTTGCAACTTCAACGTTTATCTTATGGTATAGTAAAAATTCATAATCATGATTATGATTCTTTAGTACCAAAGCATCTCAAAAAATTGTTTAACTGAGGGGGCTGAGAAGATAGCTCAGTAGAATAAGCACCTGCCTGGCAAGCAAAAGGTCCTGAGTTCAATCCCCCATACCACAAAAAAAATTGTTTAACTGAATAGTAAATAGATTATTTCTTTCCTCTAGTCAATGGTTACTAATTTTTTACTGTTTTTTTTTAATTTTTAACAAGAATAAAAAAAGTGAAAAAAATTAGAAATGGTACAGAATTTCACCAAACAAAATGATAGGAATTCAACAATGATCAATACATTTTAATGTATATGAACTTTGAAAAAATAGAATCTCAATACATTATAATCAGCTATGAAGACTTGTAGTTTAAATTGGTTAGGTTGGGGTTTTGTTTGTTTTTTAGTTTTAGTTTTTGTTTGTCTCTAGACCCAAAATATTCAGTAACTTAATGATGTCATCATCAAGCTGAATTTTTTTTGGTACTGGGAATTGAACGCAGGGCCTCACACCTGCCCGGTGCCATCAAGGTACTTGCGCTTCTCTGCTTCTCTTAGCATCAGTTTCTCCCCAGACAAGTACCCCTTATTGTTTCATGGAGCTACATGTTTATTCATGTGCTGAGAAGAGGGACTGTTTTTGAATCTTTTTTTGTAGTAAAGAGGAAACTCCCCAAATACATGCTCTCCTGGCATCTCACTTTCAGTGTGAACTTTACATGTCTTATTGGCTGTATACTTTTTTCTGAACTGTTGGCTGACAGAAGTCATGAAGTGCCATGATTGTTACAGATCAGAATTTCTAAGACCTCTTTGTCACCTGTGGGCCCTGTTCATAATGTTGTTTTAATACATAAAATAGACTACACATGCTTTGAAACAAAACCAATTATATTGAAATAAATAATATATTTTCAATGTTCAGTATAATTTTAAACATTATATAGTAATATTTATTCTTCTTTATGATCTCATTAACAAGATCTAGACATGGTTTTAGTAACTAATCTTGAAACCATGATGAGAATATAAATATTATTTTAAAATAGCTGTAACTGTGATGGTATATGAAAAAATCTTTTCTATTAAGACAAAATTACAGGTGCTATTTTATGCTGCTCTGGTTTATTTCCAACATTTATAACTGAAATTCCAACTTATGACTTCTTTGGCTTAAACTAAACATTTTGGTTGAAATGGAAGTGACTATCAATGATAGAAATCATTAAAATGTTATGTCTGGTTTCACAACATTTTCTAAAACTAGAAAAAAAATCTGTCTACAGTGGAGCCCCAAAATTCATGGACATTAGGTTCCTACAGTACCTGTAAATTGTGAAAAAACATGAATTTCAGATGTGAACTGAAAAATGCCTATAAATGCCTATTTTTATAGTTTTTAGACCTTCAATATAACCAGACAGGGTGGCACACACCTATAATTCCAGCACTCAGGAGGATGAGGTAGGAAGATTGATGTGAGTTTAAGGCTACTCTAGACTACAAAGTGAGTTCAAGGTCAGCCTGAACTACATAGTGAAACCCTGTCTCAAAAAGACCAAAAAAACCCCACCCTAAACCTTAAATATGCCAAGTCTCCTTACAGTTGTGTAATTTAACTTAATAAAATCCTGTATTTTTTTCTAAAGCTTTAGCCTTAGAAGGTACAGGGCATTTTGGCAGCATCTTAGGGATCTTAGGGCTTTAAGAACAAATCCAAGAGCACTGGAGATAGCTATGCATATAGCAACTTGTTAAGATCTAAGAATGCTGGAGCCTGAGACTTAGTCCGCACAGCACTTACCTGTCAAGTGTGCGGTCCTGATTTCATTCCAGGTACCCCCCCCCCCCCAAAAAAAAAGAAGATGTGGGAATACTAATACTGGCTGGAGATGGGTTATAGGACAGCAACCAGTCAGCAGCAAGAAGAACTGAATAACACTCTTGGATTGTCTATTTGCAGACCTCCTGCCAAAAAAAAAAAAAAAAAAAAAAAAACAATTGCAGAAGATATTTGTGGTTTCCACAAAATTGCTGGAGTTTCTGCCAAGAATTGTTAGTTAATTTCTAAGGAAAAATCCATGAACAAATGATGCCACAAACTTTGAACTGTGACTTCCCAGGGGTCTACTGTATATCTAAAATGACTTATTTGAAGAAGCTTGGAAACATTTAAATACCACAAAATCTACAGTGGTCAAAGTTGAACCTCATATTTCAATATGCACACATGTGCATATACTCACACACTTGTTCTGTTATGTATGTGGTACAGGGTCTCACTACACAGTTTAGACTCAGGGATCCTCCTGTTGTCAGCCTCCTCATCGCTGGGATTACAGGCATGTGCCACCACGCCTGGACATGGTGGCCATGGCATGTGGTGCCAGGCATGGAACCCCAGTCCTTGCACTTGCCTAAGCAAGCGTTTAGTCTGCTGAACTATCTCGCCAACCCTTATTCACACACTTTTTGACTGACTGGTGCTAGATAAGGGTATGTCACTTGAGCTTTTCAAATGTACCACCACTATTAGAAAAAATCTATTTAGGGGCTGGGGAGATAGCTTGGTGGTCTAAGCACCTGCCTGGTAAGTGTAAGGACCCAGGTTCGATCCTGGCACCGCATGCCATGCTGATCCCAGAACCCTGGGCGCATGTGCTGGCCTGAAACCGGGCATGGTGGCGCATGCCTATAAATGCCAGTGCTGAGGAGGATGAAACAGGAGTATTACTACAAGTCCAAGCTGTGTAGCAAGACCCTGTACCAAATAAATAAATAAATAAATAAATAAATAAATAAATAATTTTTAAAAATCTATTTGAAGCTGGATCTTCTTATAGAGCCTATGAGAGATGTAAAGGAAATAAAACCCAGTCCCTGACTTTAAGAAGTTGATAACCTAAGTACCATTATCTTCAACTGTCAATAACAAGAAATATTTAAATTTGAGTCTGAACTCTTTTATTTCCTGTTTGGCCTTTGTCAGGTTAGCTACTTTTTCAGTCTTTTCTTCTTTGTCTGTTAAATGGGATCAGTATCAGTTTCTCCTCAGTCATTAAGCATTTTTTTATTATTGTTGATCACCCAAATCATCTTTGTTTACATTGTAAATATAAACTCTGTGTTGGTGACTTTCTAGGATTTTGAACGCTCCCGAGCCTTCAATTTTCTGAATGAAGTAAAGAAGAGGTTCCAGACTACTTACGGTTCAAGAGCACAGACAGCACTCCCATATGCCATGAATAGCGAGTTCTCAAGTGTCTTGGCTGCACAGCTGGTAAGATATTCTTTGGGATACAGTGTTTTCATTCATATTTTCTTCTTTTACCTTAAAGCACCATGATTATAGGGGTCTTGACCTGTGGTTCACTTTTCTGATTGTGCAACTATAAGCCAACATAATAAAACCTCCTTGTTTAAAATATAAAGGGAACATTTTAGTGTGGAAAGAATAATTAAGGATATTCACTATTGATAGTGTTTAGAATATCTCAGAGTTGAGAAGAATATTAAAGATCATCTAGTATAACTATCTATCTAATGTATAAAACCATTCAGCATACCAAATGGCCTTTTAATCTATACATAAACTTTCTACCCTCCCATGAGATAAATTTACTTTTTAATCAGTTCAAGTTAACCATTTTAAAGTCTGTTCATCTGTATAAATCCCTAATTGTCAGATCAATGATGTTTTACATATTTATAATCCTTTGAAATACTATCATAATCAAGGTAGAACATAATCAAGATAGAAAGTGTTTCTGTTGCCCTAAAATTTCCCACATGTCCTTTCCCAGTCTGTTCCTTCTCCCAACACACTCTGCTCTGGCAGCCATTGATTTATTTTCTGTCAATACAAATTAGTTTTGTCTTTTCTAGAGTTTGCTATTAATGGAATCATACAGTATGTACTCTTACACGTCTTGCTTATTTTGCATAGTATAAGGCTTTTAATACTCATCCATGTTGTGTAAATTAGTAATCTGTTTCCTTTTTTGCTGAGTAGTGTTGTGTGCATACCCCACAATTTGTTTATCCATTTACCTGTTGTTACATATTTGGGTCATTTTCAGTTTTCAACTATTGTAATAATACTGCTATGAATCTCCACATACAAGTCTTTGTGTAGACATATGTCTTTATTTCTCTTTGGTAAATACCGAAGAATGGAATTGCTGGGTCATATAGTAAATGATGTGTTGTTTTAAAATTTATTGCATCTTTTTCCACAGTGATTGTTCCACTTTACATCCTCACCAGTAGTTCCAGTGTTTTGCATCCTTCTCAACACTTGTGTGTCTTTAATTTCAGTCATTCTAGTTATTGTGCAGTGGTATTTCATTGTGGTATTAATTTATGCTTTCATGATGACTTAAGATGTTAAGCTTACCTTTTATTCATGAAGCTATTTGAGTGCAAGCATATAAACTCTAGCCATGCTTCTTTGTGAATATAGAAAAAAAGACATTTGCTATTGAATACTTTACACTTCTGTGGTCTTTTAAAAACTTTTTCAGTATTGTATTTGTAAACACGCCCCTCCCACCTTCATTCCTCTAGAAATGAAATTTCTTTAAATTAGCTGTTTGTAAGCCTTTATTGTGCAAGCAGTTGGTTTTGTTGGTTTGCTTCATAATTCCCACTAGAAATGTTCAAATATGTGAACTTATGCAAAACACCACTGTCTTACTTATTCTTCTCTTGTTGCTGAGACAAATACCTGACACCCAAAATGAAGGAGGAAAGGTTTACTTAGCTCATGGTTACTGAAGGTCTCAGTCCATATTCAGCTGGCTCCAAGGCAGAACAAAACAAGGCAGAGAGCAACCTTTCATGGTGGCAGCAAAGAGCAAGAGCTAAGGGAGAGGTAGCAGCAGCTCAAGCAGCTAACTCTCTTCCCACCTCAAGTTGTAATGCAAATCACCTGCCCTGGGGCAGGTACAGCATCCACACCCACAGTAATCAATCACAAACTCCAGAAGCTGCCCCAAGACTGCATGAGGCTTTGGGGAACAGCTATACACAAACCATAACAACCACCAACTAAACGGCAGTCAAAAGAAGGTAGGATTTAACAGGCCAGGGAGATGGCTCAGTAGAATAAGTGCTTCCTTGGCAAGCACAAGGGTCTGAGTTCAATCCCCGGTTCTGGAAAAAGAAAAAGATAGGATCTACTGGCAGCAAAACATCCAAATTCAGTAATTTATTGTTAGTTCCAGATCTGTGTATGTATTGCCCCCTTGAACAAATAGGTACCTGTTTTCTTATATGTATGTAACGATAATGAAGGCATCTTTGCTGCAGAGTTTTTGGGTGGATTAAGCAATATTTCATTTAAAGCACTTAGCTCAGTGGAGTGATGGGAGTATTGTACATGTAACACTCCAAAATTGTTAGCTATGGATAATAATTTCAAAATATATACTGTCATCAATATCTTAAAGTCTAGATCCTGTGAGAAGAAATGAAATAAGATGCAAACGGTGGTCACAGAAAACAGAACAGCAGATGCTAAGAAACTGAGCATGCCCAAAAAGTAGGCATGTGTGATGACTTTTTCCTGTCCTGTCTTACTTGTCCCCTCTACATAGATTGTCTTTTCTGTCATTTATACCCCAAGAGTTTCAGCTGTATATTTGATATATTACAATATGTTTTACTCTGTTTTATTAAAA